TGGTATTGAAATAGAAGGTAGAGGTGGGTTAGAAGAGTGACTATGAGTTAAGTTAGTAGAAAGTGTGGTTTGAGACTGTGCAAAATGTGAAATACAGTATGGAATCCATATTTGTTTATAAATTTGTTGGTATATTTCATTATTAATTATGAAATAAAATAATAAAATATAACAAATTATCATAACAAATAAAATTATAAAATATTCTTAACACACTGAAATAGTGCTTCAAATTAGGTTATATTAACTGAAATCTGATTCAAAATTTTAGGTTAGATTAAGTTCAGTTAAAAAAATTTAATCTAAAAATTTTGGGTTAGGTTTGGATTGAGTTCAGATTGAATATTAACTTAAACTAATCTAATCCAACCTAACCTGAAATTATCTATATTAGAGATGCTCAAAATAAGCATTTTATATATTTTTTTTAGTTTTAATAGCAAGTACATATGTTTATAATGGTGATATATAAGTATTTTTAAATAATAGTTTAAATAAAACCACTAATCGGATTTTTTCAAATAAAATTGTTATAACAAATCCTTAATTTTGATTGGTTAATAACTATAAATTGCAAAATTTTGTCTGCATTCTATAATTTACTAATTTTTAATCATAATTTTGATTTTTTTAAGAAAATAATTATGTATTATAATATAATTTGTTTAGGAACTATATAAAATTCTGAGTAATTTTAGAAAAATATTTAGTTTATCATTTTTAGTCAATCAAAATCAAGAATCTGCTGTGAAATTTTGTAAAACAAAATCAATAAATTTTTTTTAATTCTATAAATCATAGAATAAAAATAAAAAATTTTCATTGATACTAGTATGCAATGCATGATTTTTACTATAGTAGTTATAATGCTATCAAGTTAGGATTTGATTAGCCAACTTTGATAGTTATTATTACATGAATTTTAAAAGCAAAATGGGTGATTGAATTCATTGTTTAAAAAATTTTATTTATATTAGTCTTAAAATTTCGGGTCAGGTCAGTTCAGATTCAGTTCGAATTAGGTTCAAATCAGGTTGAAGCTCTAATTCAAAAGTTTTTAACATGAAGTTTTAGGTCAGGTTCGGGTTGGCTCATAACTTGACACATTTGGAGCACTATACTAAAATAATATATTTATTACTTTCAACCAAATTTATCATGACAGCAGACATTCATATTTTTTCCTAAAGTTTTGTAAGGTTGAAAACTCTATTAAATAACTTTAATATATGCTATAATATGAGTGAGTAAATAAGAAATTTGTATTATTGTAATTTAAAAATAAATACAATAAAACATTATAAATATAAATTATGCTGAGTTCTTTGATTAAGTTTCACATTTATTCAATGCTTTACTATTGTCAGTCTATAAAATAAAATCAATTTTATAGTATTTTTACATAATAAAATTATTGATTATATTTCATAAACTGATATTGTAAATTATTAAATAAAACTATACATATTCCTGTATGCATCAACTGTTGTATTTTATGTTCTCATCTAATCATTTCATAAACCAGCCATATAGGCTGAGTTATTAACCAATCATCATTGCTCATAAAATGTATACTTCACATGAAATAACTATATAATATTTATTGTGAGCCAGAAAATATAATTGTAATATGAATAAAAGATAAAAAGCTTAATCTTGTAATTTTTTATCTGAAGTATAAAGATAGTCACACATGGGATTTTTAATATGATTCTGAAATAAGATTATTTAGCTGGCATTACTATAGTATCTGACTAGCATTAATATAATATCTAACCTGCATTAATATATTTAGCTAATTCTTAATTAAAATTTATTTATTTATTTACATACTATTTTACATATATGTTTATTTATATATATAATAAGAATTTATCTTCTTTGCTATTGGTAGCTTTTACTTACATTACAAAAATATTCTTTATCATTAAGTCACTCTTTTAAAAATAAATAATATGCATAGTAATAATAGTATTTAGAATCATCTTACAAAAATTAGATTAGATGAAATCTTTAATGAGGATGTGCTTAATGTAATTACTATTATTAAACCTTGCAAAAAATATGTGGAAATTCATTATTTTGATTGACCAATAGCAATGACCAAAACTTTAGACTAAATTACTCAAATTTTTAGTAAAAAAATCATAGCTGCCTATTAAGTAAAATTAGGGTTTAAAATTTTGTAGTTTAATTAATCCTGTGTAGGATTTTTGGAAAAACTGTGATTTGCCTAGCTCTAGGTACTATATATCCTATGAAATTATATAAAATTTATGTTACTAAAACTTATGTAAAATTATATGTATTGTAAATTTGTAAAATGTAATTTTCAACTCTAAGTAAAATATGTTTCTGTGTTAATTTTACTATTACACAGACCCAAACCTTAAACAATTAAAAAATTAAACTTTGGTCAAAATTATGTATAATGTGGCTAAAATTTTGTCAATTACAGCTATTGGTAAATCAAAATTGAGGTTCAATGGCATGGCATCTAGATTTAATGAACTCCATGTGTTATGCATGTGATTTTTTAAAAAACTGCAATTTGCTCATTTCTATTAATGTATTAAAGCTGCTCGATACATAAGTATCGAGGCAGCTTTTGTCTCAAATCAGCCTGTAACTAGGCATATAACATGCCCTATTACAGTCACATAGGTAGTTTTGTAGTGACATATTCTAGTATGATGATCATTTTAGTAATAAAATAGACTTTATAGTAATATGTGGTAATTGTTATGATTAGTATGTTTAGTATATTCTGATTAGTAATAATAACATCTTATAAGGTTATTAGATTTGAGTATTTAAGTAGTTTGTATTAAATAAAGATAGAGATAACTTTATTCTTTTACAAACCTAACTTTTAGTCTGGTTTTGTTGAGCATATCCTTGTAAATTCTTTTAATATGAATATGAATAAAGAAAAATTGGTTCTAAATATTGAAGATAAAAGTTTTGAGGAATATGCATCTTCTTTGAGTAGTGATTGTAAAGAATTCAAAAAAGTGTTCAGGCTAATTTTGAGGCTAATTTTGGTCTTATGTTGGTTAATATGTTAAAGTTTTTGTGTTATGAGCTAAAAATTTCCGAAACAAGAACTAAACAGGATTTGGTAAATCATTTAGTTGGTGAGAGTAAGAAAAAGAAAATTTTAAGAGAGACTTTTGCTATAAAGAAAAGGTGCTGTCTGGTAGTAAGTATGCTGGTACTTCTGTAACATTGTCTGGTAGTGCTAACATATCATTTTCAGAGCCAGTGGCTAGTTTAGATAGTAGTTCAGCCGAGAGGTGGTTGAATGAAAGAAGTTTGATTCGAATGTTGTGGGTGGTGGTCAGTCACAGCAACAGTTTTCTGGGTGCCTAAATAAAGTTCTCTGGTTTTTTGATATAAATGAGAGCATTCTGAAGAGGTGTGAATTGTTGAAAGCTAGAAATTAGTAGGAATATAATAAATAGTATAAGGTTGGCTCATTTTTGGATAAGGCTTTAATGACAGATGATATTGAGTTTGTTTAGTTGTCAAGACAAGTTGCTCTTAAAAGAGCATATATTGTTACAGTTGCTAATGAAGATGTGGCAGCAAAGATGGCATCTAGTAATTATGATCCTATGGCAGAGCTGTTTGGTAGCAGGAAGGAGAAGGCCAGAATGGCTGTGCAACATTTTTTATTTGCTAAGAATAGAAGACCTAAAGTGTTGCAAAATCAAAATTCAAGTAGGAATGAACCTTAGGACAAACAGTTTTCAGTTTCTTTTTTTCAAAGAGTGCAGCCTGCACTATCAACTCTAATTCAACCTCAACCTTTTGTGCAGCTGTTGTGGCAACAGCCTCTTTTCCAAGCGATGGGTACTAGCTCTGTTGATTTTAGAGATCAGTGAAATGGGTCTGGAGCACAAGGAGGGGCCAATCCTATTGTTTCAGATCAGCTAGTACTTCAGGATACTTTGTCTTGTAATGGAGTGTGTAGTCCTCAGCTTCAAATAGGCCACAGGAGGTTTTAGTCTTCTTTTAATAACTTTAACATGAATAGAAAAGTTGAGGCTAGAGAGGTGGTATACTTCTTATGTAAAGGCAAGGACAATTATATGAACAAATGTAGTTCAAGAAAGTATTTGAACTCACCTTTTCAGAGAAATAGTCAAAAGCCCAAGAGAAGTTGACTACACTTGAAAGAGATTGTTAGAGAAAAGTATAGAGTTGGTAGAAGTAGAAGTTTGTCATA